TCATCATCATCATCATCATCATCATCATCATCATCATCATCATCATCATCATCATCATCATCATCATCATCATCATCATCATCATCATCATCATCATCATCATCATCATCATCATCATCATCATCATCATCATCATCGCCACCACGCACCTCAACCCTTCAATCATTCCAACGACTCTTCATCACCCATCATCACCACCACCACTCGTCACAACTGCAACCCATCGCCGTGGTTGACGGGCCAGGTTCCTGACGTACGGCGATATGCCCCTCGAGCACCATCTCGACATCATCGAGCGGGATGTTCTTCAGCACTTCAGCGCACAGGAAAAGCCAACAGGTGTGGCAGTGGCTGTCGTTGTTGTCATTTTGGCGCTGGTGGTGGTGCTGTCTTTGCGTGCATTGCATGCTCAGCACCCAGTCACATTCGCTGACAATCCACCATTCCTATCACCACCACCGCCGCTATCACCGCCATTATAACCATCACCACACCACTGCTCCCCCTCCCCACCCCCTCTACAGCCGAGCTGTTGACGCGGCCGTGGACAGCGCCGCAGCAGCACCACATCCACTGCGCGCACGACCCCAACGCCGGCGACACCCAGACGAAGATGAGCGTGTCCTTCCTGACACCCGAGGCGACGGGTCTGTACGAGTCGTTTGTGTACCGCATGCTGTCGTCGCTGCTGCTTGACTCTGCCAGCTCGCCCTTCTACCAGGCGCTCATCGACAGCGGGCTCGCGCCGGTACGCCGTGCTGTATCGTGCATTGTAGTGCTGTGTGATGTGCTGTGTGATGACGCTGTGTGTGTGTGTGTGTGTGTGTGTGTGTGTGTGTGTGTGTGTGCTGTGTGGCATGCGTGAGAGCGTGCGCTTTTTGTTTGTGTGTGCGCGTTGCTGATCCCACCAGCTCATGGCTCCACCACGTTCCCCCCCCCCGCTGCCAACAGGAGTACAGCCCCAACACGGGCCTCGACATGCACACTCCACAGGCATCCTTCTCCGTGGGAGTGCAGGTGTGTGTGATTGACATTGTATGTTGGTGTGTGTTTGCCTCGTTGTATGGGAGCTGCTGCCACCCAATGTTTTGCTTTCCATTCCTTCTCACCCAAGCCCATGCATGCTCTTTCGCCTTCCACCACCACCACCACCACCACTACCACTACTGTCACCACCACCACTACTGTCACCACCACCACCACACACCACCGTGGTCGTATTCATCAGGGCATCCGGGAGAGCGCTGTTGATGATGTGCGAACGGCGATTGACGCGACGCTCCAGCGCTACACAAACGATCCGTTCGACGACCAGGTCACGCTCACTTGCGGTGGTGGTGATGAAGTGGGGGGGGGTGATGGTGGGGGTGTGCTCGCTGTACCGTGTGGTGCTGCTGTTGTGTCAACCACCGCTGTGCCCGTGGTCACGCCGTTCTCGCACCACATCATATTCACATCACGTTCACACTCATACCCCGGCTCATGCCCACCACCCCTGTGGACACATCACATCCCGATCCCCATGCGATGGTGACGGCAGATGGTGCAAGCGCTGCTGCACCAGATTGAAGTACGACAGCGGGCAGTGTCGGCCAACTTTGGGCTGCACCTCGTCACCAACGTCGTCTCCGGATGGAACCACGGCCGTGAGTCAACCCATATCGTCGTCGTCGTCGTCGTGGTGGTGGTGGTGGTTGCGATCGCGTGGTGGCGGTGGTCGTCGTCGTGTGAACAGCTTGAGTGTTGTGATGTGCGCTTGCTGCTGTTCAGCTGTTTGTTTGTTCATGCATGCTTCCACTCACGCGTGTATTCACATGCCTCCTCTTCCTTTGGTCTGCCCCACCACACAAACACAAACACAAACACAAACACCTCGCAACTACCATCACCACCACCCTTTCTTCCTCCCACCTCAGTTGACCCGCTGGACATGCTTGAGATCAAGCCGATCATTGAGCGCTTCCGTCGCGAGTACAGCCAGGACCCCATGCTCTTCCAGAAGATTATTCGCCGCGACTTTGTTGAAAATCCGCACCGCCTTGAAGTGGTCATGACGCCATCCAAGTCCTACCAGGAAGACCTGGATGCGAAGGAGAAGGAGAAACTAAACGCGTTTGTCTCCAAACTGAAGCCAGCGGATGTGGACGCCATCTACGACCGCAACCTTGAACTCCTCGCCTCCCAGCAGAAGGAGCGGGTAAGTGATGATGGGACGCGTTGTGTGTGCACGTGTTTGTGTTTGTAACGTATTTGGGTGTTTGTAGTGTTTGTGCGGATGCGTGAGAGAAACAATCGTGAGCACGATCTCTCTCGATCTCTCTCTCTCTCGCAAGCATGCACGACAATTCATCACTGTAATTCTCACGTTGCACTCATCACCCTGTTTCCTCTGTACCACCATCGCCATCACAGGATGTCTCGTGTCTGCCAACGCTGCACGTGGAGGACATTAACAGGTCTGGCACGTATTACGACCCCACCATCACCTCGTCGCAGCCATTCGACCTCTACACAAACGTGCAGGTATGTGTGTGTGTGTTTGTTTGTCTGTATATGTGTGTATGTATGCATGTGTCTCTGTGATTTGTCACCACCACACGACTTGCTTCCCTGCTCCAGCCTCCTCCTCCTCTCCTCCTCCTCCTCCTCCTCCTCCTCCTCCTCCTCCTCCTCCTCCTCCTCCTCCTCACCACCACCACCGCCGCCACCACCGCCGCCCCTTGTGTGTGCACGTGACTGCCAGCCAACGAACGGCGTGTGCTACACTCGCGCGTTCTTTGACGGCGCCGGCCTCTCATATGAGGACCAGCTCTTCCTTCCCCTCTTCAACCAAATGCTCACAACGTACGCAACGGCAGTGCTTGGTGCAATGCTCGTGTCGTGGCGTGCGTGTGGCGTGTGGCGTGTGGTGTATTGTGTATTGTGTATTGTGTATTGTGTATTGTGTATTGTGTATGTGGTGTGGTGTGTGTGCGTGTGGGGGTGTATTTTTCATATGTGTGCATCGTTCGTGTCGCTGTTTGAAACTGTTGCCGTACAATGCTCATTTCACCACTCAACGACATGTCCTTCACACACCCTTTCTTTCTCTCTCTCTCACCACCACCACCACCGCCATCACCACCATCACCATCACCACGACCACTGCTACCGCTATCATCAGGGCTGGTGTTGGCGATATTTCGTACAAGGAGTTTCCCCAGAAGGTCCAGAACTGCATGGACGGATTGTCCGCGTCCTGTGTTGTTTCCCAGGACTTTTTCAACCCAGACAAGTTCACACACGTCAGTCGGTGCCGTGCACTCGCGCTTTTTGTTTGTGCGCACCTGCTACGAATGCTGTTCTCCATGTGCACATGTTCGCTCACTTCAGTCATGCACCCATCCTTACCACCCATCAACACACCACCACGACTGCAGGGCGTGAATGTGTCGTCGCTGTGCCTGTCAGAGCACGCTGGCGACGCATTTTCGCTGTGGCAGCGGCTGCTGGTTGAGGCCCGGCTCGACGACCACCACCACCTCCGAAACATCATTCGCATGGCAGCGGTGCGACCATAGTGGTGGTGGTCGTGGTGGTGGTCGTGTTGGTGGTGGTGGTGGTTGTGGTGGTGGTGAACTGTGGTTGCTTGCATGCTCTCGGGACACTGTTGCTGTTGATGCCATCCAATTTCACATCACCTCATCACCATCGCACACACACACACACACATACACACACACACACACACACACACACACACACACACACACACACACACACACACACACACACACACACACACACACACACACACAATGTAGGCGCTGTCGCTGCCCGTGCACCACTTCAGGGTGACGGTGTTTGGGTGTGTGGATCCACAGCAACCATCGTCAGAGGCATACGACACACGGAAGAGGATCGAGCACTTGCTCGGGCTGCTGTACGCGTCGCCATCTGCACCACAGCCCCACGATACCCCAGGCACCAGTCACGCACCTGCCGCCACGGCCACCACCACCACCACAGCCGCCACATCGACGACCAAGGCTGCACTTCAGCCGTTCCCACAGCAGCAGCAGCAGCAGCAGCAGCAGCAACATCATCTTGTCGAGGAGGCGCTTGGGGATGTGCCGGGGAAGGAGATACAGTCGCCCGCGCAGATGTATGGCCGCGGGAAACACAGCGTCATGTGGCGGGGCCTGGCGCAGCGCCCGCGCTCGCGCCGCCTCCCCCAGTCTGCCATTGACCGGCTGCTGCTTGGGCCGGACCTTGACACGCTACGCGCCATCTTGCCACGCAAGCGCCCCGCCTCCGCTCGCAGTAGCACTGCCTCGCCAGCACACAACAACAGCAACAGCAGCACGCGTCGAGGGCGATCACAGCGGCCCCGGCTGGTGATGATGAGCGTGGACGACTACCGCGCCAAGTCGCCCTCCGTCGTCGTGTCCATGTCACCGCCCCGCACGTCTCACTCGCCATCACCGCCGCCGCAACAAGAATCCTCGCACCGGCTATCACTGCCAAGAGAGGCATCATCGACCTCACGACACTCGTCGCTGTCATCGTCACGGTGCGCCTCTCCATCAGAGGAGCGCGAGTGCCGGTGGCCGCACGTGCCGCTCTGCCAACACCTCGCAGCGGCGATCCAGGAGTGGGCGCTACTGCATGCGCCAACCACCCACGATGATGATGATGATGATGATGTCTTCTCTGCGGCGAAGTACGCTGCGAGTCAGATGCATGAGCAGGAGGAGCTGCTTGCGCTGGGAACAGAACGCGATCTGTCACCGGAGTGTCGCTCGCTCGCGCCGTTCATGCATGAAGCCTTTGCCAGCGGTGATCACAGGCGCATTCTGCGAGCCTTTGATCGCCTCTTGTGCTTCATCACCATTGACGATGTGCAGTGGTTTCTTGGCATGCAACACACCCAGGGTACCGTCTCGGGCTTGCCGCCCCCGTGCTGGTGTGTACTGTGAGCATGTGTGTGTGCGTGCGTGTGTGTGTGTGTGTGTGTGTGT